TGTGCCATCTCTGCGGTGCAGAGGAGCTGGACCAGCTGTCGAGCCTCAGCACCAGCTGCGCGCATGCAGCCTGCTCGGTCTGCTATACCGTCACCCACAAGGACAACTTCATGGAGGCGGGCTGCCCCGTACGCTGTGGGGGCACGGGGACAGTTGTTCGTACGCTACGAGGTGGTCAGATGGCCTTTCGACAGTTCTTAGGTTCCTCTCTCTTTGATCAGCCGTAGGAAGTAATCTGTCCCACTTACATACGGACACCCGCAAGCGAACGCTGTCTGTACATACGTTTTGATCGACAATCGCAAGCGTTCCCCATCTGATTCACCATTTGACTTCAATGTCCCGCTTGCAAATGCTTCGACTCCATTCCAACAGGTATATTGCGTCTTTGCTTTGTTTGCCCGCGTCATAGATTGTGTAAAGTTTGTCTCTGTACAGTAAAGAAAGCAGTAATGGAGAACCCTACCAAAAGCCCTGCAGAGGTGACGACTTTTGTACTTGTGGACAATCGTGTGCGTGACTCTCATGATTCTCCATTCGATTTCCGAGTGCGGATTCCAAGTGCATCTGCACCGTTCAAATATATATCCTCCATAAAGCTAGTGCAGCTACAGATTGCAAAGATGGTAATGGAAGATTATGTGATAATCCAAATCGACCCTTTAAATGGGACCGTGAAATGCTCCGAAGATGGCAGAGAAGATGCGTTTGCAATAGGCTGTTATTCAAACTCGGATTACTTACAGTTGAATACTCTGTGTGGTGACAACATCACTGGGCCCACAATCTATGACCCCCCCCTGGCACGCCTCGACGACATGCGTATTCAATTCAAGAAACACGACGGTACCACTCTCACATATGACGACTTTAGCGGTCCCGATGGAAGCATAAATCCGAATTGCGACAGAATCATGATGGTTTTCGCATTCACGCATAAGAATGTCAGAATGCCATGAATCTGTGGGACGAATATATGTGACATCACCGGGCTGACAATTGTCCTTCACAAACATTGTGCCTCGCAAAATGTTTATGCTCCCCAAGTATGCGCCAGTACCTGTACGCTTGATCCGGCTGTCCTCACAGGGATGTGGCCACGACCTAAGACACAAACACCCAGCAGAAACGGGTCACCGTGCTACCTGTGCTCGCAGCATACTTCACCTGTCCCCTTGACAACCTATTCTTCTCTGCGGCCTCTGCGATTGTGTCATACGTCTGCAGGAGTGTGCCCTGGAGATCGTACTTGTGGACGGCCCTGTTGCTCTTGATGTTTCGGCCTTGTTCCACCCTGGTCGCCCAGCGGAGGTTCCAGATGACATCGTGAATGGAGTTGCCGTCGATGTGGTCAACCGTGTGCTCGGCACTGGGCGGCCGTCCGATGAACGTGTGGGCCATGAGGACATATAGCTTGACAACCTTTGTCCGCCCATCCACCCGAAGGTTGACATTGCGCCGGTTGTTCACGATCCACCCCTCTGTGCGCCTCCCGAACTGGAGCTGGACCCGCCCCATGGTGCTGACCCTTATGCCTTTGATCAGGCGCCCATGAAGCTCTGCATCCTTCCAGACCTCGCCTGGCCTGTCATCTTGCTCGGCCGTATGTTTTGGACACCTGCGGAATATGTAGCCCCGGTACTCCTTGCTCGACCCCTGTCGGATTCGTTTCTGCACCGTCGCCAGGGTGAGCCCCAAAGTTGATGCGGCGGCCCTTACCGAAGCGTGCAGGTTTTCTTTGCCGCTTGCAACATGGAGCGCCATCACCGGGAAGCCTTTGGTGACTCCTCCCTTCTTGCTTGCACGTGGGTTGTCCGCAACTAAGAACCAGAGCCCCAGAGCGAAGAACACAGCCTTTGCCGTTACCCTATGCATCATGCTGTGCCGGCTTCCAGCAGAAGCCGGTCGCCGTGCTGCCTGATGTTACAGCATACTTCAATCTGTCCCACGAAATGCCGCTCTTCTCTGAGGCCTCTGCAATGGTGCCGTATGTCTCGAGAAGCTTCCCCTGAAGATCGTACTTGCAGACAGCCCTGTTCGTCGTTTGGTTCCGCCCTTGCTCACTCTTTGTTGCCCAGCGGAGATTCCCACTCACGTTGCGGCGGCAGTTGCCGTCGATGTGGTCGACGGTGTGCTTGTCACTCGGTGGCGGACCGATGAACGTGTGAACCATCAGTATGTGAACGAAGACTTGAACATCCTTCCCATCGACCTCAAGCCCGACCTTGTGACGCCCGTGCTTAACTTTGCCCTCTGTCCGCCTCCCATCACGGAGCTGAACGCGCCCCAGGCTGCTCACCCTTATGCCTCTGATCAGCCTCCCATCCAGCTTTGCGTCCTTCCATTCTTCACCAGGCCTGTCCGCCTGTTCTGCAACATGCACCGGGCACCTGCGGAACACGTGGCCGCCATACTCTTCGCTCGACCCTTGCCGAATTCGCAACTTAACCGTCGACAGTTTAAGTCCCAGAGCTGATGCAGCCTCCGTAATAGAACTGTACCTTTCCTCTCTGCCGCTCGTGGCATGAAGTGCAATAATCGGAAAGCCCTGGGTAGCACCCCTCTTCTTGCCCGAGTCTGGGTTGTCCGCAAGGGTCTTTGAGTTGTGCTCCCACCGGGTTAGCTCCTGCAGGTTGGCCCAGCTGTCGTCCTGAGGCTGCCGTTCGGACCCATCCTTAGGTGTGGGCGAAGGAATGATGTGATCGATATCCATTCCGGAAGCGATCGCACGCCCGTGGGCGATCTCGAAGTTCAGACAATGGCGTTGGATCTTCTTCCCATCAATTTCCAGCTGAACATAGCCGTTGAATTTCGTACCCTTCAAGAAGCGCCCGGATCTGCAGCTCCAGACTTGGCCGTCCGGAAGCCCAAAGATGTGTTTATACTTGTAGTGCTGCTTCCAGCCCTCATAGCTCGTTGGTGGTGCGTTTTGCTTCGAGTGTGAGCGCAAGTGGCATGTAAGATATTCCGGACCGGTAAAAGTCTCACCACAGCCGGCAAAATCACAAACGAATTGCTTGGGACCGTTGATCTGGCCGTGCTTGCGCTTCACTCCCACGGGGCCACTTGCCATCTCCTCTACAGATGCCCTTTGTGGGAGTAAACATGTTCCTAAGTTCGTGAGCATTGGTACATTCACATCAACACCCCGTCGAGAGATCGTCATTGACAACTCGGCCCACTTCCTCTCAAGGATGCACATGTTTCAGGGGTTTTGCGGTTTTAAGGTGACGTCGCCTGTGATCGGGGTTCGTCAACTCCTGCAGGTTGGCCCAACTGTCGTCCTGGGGCGGCCGTTCCGATCCTCCGCTTTCCGGTGCAGGTGGCGGGGCAATGTGGTCGATCTCCATGCCGGGGAAGACAGCGCGCCCATGTGCGATCTCGAAATTAAGGCGGTGTCGTCCAATCAACTTCCCATCGATTCCCAGCATGATGTAGCCATTGAGCTTCGTACCTTTTAGGAAGCGACCGGATTTGCAGCTCCAGACGCTGCCGTCCGGGAGGCCGTAGATGTGCTTGTATTTGTAGTGCTGTTTCCAGCCCTCGTAGCTTATCGGGGGCGCATTCTGCTTAGAGTGAGATCTCAGGTGGCGCTTGAGTAACTTCTCCCCGTTGAACGTCTTGCCGCAACCAGCAGAATCACAGACAAACTGGGCCGGATCGCTGATGTGGCCGCACTTGCGTTCGAGTCCTACCGCAATTGCACCTGCCATCTCGCGAATAGATGCCTTTGTCAGGTTACACATGTCCCTAAGCCTTGCAAGAGCTTTGCACATGGACCTCCTTCAGGTCCACCACTTTGACAAATGCATTTGCAATAGCGTGACCGTGGACCCATGATGCAATCTCACTCACAAGCCTGCATATGTGCAATGAATTTCTGCGGCTAAGTCATGGACACCCAATGGCTGATTGTGATAGGAGTGCTTCTATTCTGCATCCTGCTTCTCTGTTCGGCACACATGCCAGAAAGATTCGAGGATGCAGAGGATGCAAATGATGATGATTTTGATGGAGAGGACGATGATGATGGGAACGAAGAAGACGAGCAGGAACCTGGCAATGAGGTGCAGCCCTTAACAACCGAGCCAGACACGCGCAAGCCACCAAAGGAGAAAAGCTCTCTGCCCGCTGCTCCAGTTGTTGCAGAGGCGGATGCTCCAAAAGCTAAACCAATTCAGGTTGTGAAAAAGGTAGCTAAAGCGGCCATCAAAACCAGTGTTGCAGATGTGAAGAAGGTCTTCAAGGTCGAGAAGGCGGACCCTAAGAAGCAGGCAACGGCGAATTTCCTGGACAAAGATGCAATGCTGTTCACACCCCGCAGGATGTTGTGCCTGCCAAGCACGTCCGGATTTCAATGTTTGTACCAGTAATCATAACGTGCTTCTTGCACTCTCTGCAAATCGCTGCATCGCCATCTTGTACAAGACCCCTCCCGGTCGAAGCCCCCATTCCAAAACGGCTGCGCCAACGACTTGCCGTGCCCACTTGCGCTCCTCGGCGTTGCGCTTCAGGCCCTCGAGGCCCGCCCTCTTCAGCGAGGTCTCGAGATCCTCCTCCACCCAGCTGGGAAAGCTGCCGGGAAAGAGGATGCCCGCAGCCACCTGCTCAGGCGTCGTCTCTCGCATTACGCCGCCCTTCCGGGAGAGTGCGTCGAGGATCGGCAGCTCGTGGGCGTGCTGTGCAAAAACCATATGCACAGTAGCCGATGACTTGGTGTCCATGCGCTGAAAACGGTGCCCCAGCTGGTAGAGATTGAGTGTGTGATAATTCGGGCTGATCAACGCGAGCCGGGGCCAGCCCCCAAACTTATCATCGAGATCTATCCCCGTTGAGCAGACGGCTACGTTCCCCAGGAGCACCCTGTGCTCGTCGCTCGGAGCCTGAAACTTGTCGATTACGTGCTTGCGCTCTTCCTTCTGCACCGTCCCGTTCAGCACCAACGGCGAGTAGCAACTTAGCAGGTCCCGCAGTCTGTGTAGAGAGTCGTTGTAGTTAACGCAGATGACAAGCTTCTTCTGCGGGTTGGACTTCAGCGCCTTGAGGGCCACGCGCGCAAAAGTCTGAACCTTTGCACTCTCGATCTTCACCAGAGCAGCGCACATGGCGCGCAAAGATTCGATCCCGCGGCCCATGTCC